CATGCAAAAGAATAAACATATTATCTATATAAACCAATTTAATTTTTAACAAGCAGTGGCATTGTCCATCTTATAAGTACAATACAGCTATTTTCAATTAGATGGGTAACATCTAATCAGAAATTGCAAAACTGCACTCACTTCTTTATTTATCTAGAACTTTAGTCAAAGACATGTATCACTAAACAAGGCATTTCTTGTAGATTGTACAGAAGAAGAGGCATATATATTGTTAAAGAAATGTGTTCAAGAAATTCAAAAGCGATTAATCATTAATTTGCCAAATTTCAAGGTTCAAAAGATATCAAAGGATGGAATCAAAGATTTGCAGCCAATTACAGCTGAAAATTTGGCTGTCGAAACCGCTGCTAAAGCATAAAAGTTTATATCTTTTTATGGGAATATTTCCGTTATAGAAATTAATTTAATTATGACTTAAAGAAAATCAGTCAATGATTGTATTCGTTTACTTTTTCTTTAATAAATTATGAAAAATTTATGCATTTAACGTTTTCATTATTGTCATATATATGTATACACATTTAAATGATTTAATATGCGAATAACAATGATAGAAAAATCAGTTTCCTTTTTAAGATTTTAATAGAACATTTATACAAAAAATTTATAAAAAGATTTTGTCAGTCAACTGTCAAAGTACAAAAATTATGTAGATTGAATATTTGTAATTTTTATGTAATATTATTTAATTTTTTTGTTATATTATTTGTAATTTTTAATTGTGGATAAAAAGTGAGAAGTACTATGCCTTTTATTCATCAGAGTTACATTTTTCTTTTACATTTGCGGATTGAAAAGAATTGTGCAATGTTTACAAATTTTCAGTTTATATATACATGTTTATGAATAGACATTCCTATCTGTTTTAATTATTAATATTTATGTCATTAATAGATATTAGCATTGGTGTAGTACACTGGTATATATTTATTTCATCATAAATAATTTTGGAAAAGAAATAACTTTTTATATTTTATATTAATTCGTTTAATGTGTCGCAAAAATCAAAATCATTTTTACATTATTTATAATTCATGATTATCACTCACACATGGTAAAAAGTTATCAGAAATTCTGGAATAGTAGTAAAAACTTATATTTAAGTGGAATTGAAACTTATCCCAAATAAATTTTTAGAATGCACCGTAACATATCGCAAAACTCAGGTAGACTTGTATAACAGTCGTCGTACATATGTACGAAATATAAATCAACAATTGGAAGTATTTTTTAGTCCATTCTTCTTTCTCCATCTCTCTCAACCATAAAGAGCAATGAAACAGTGAAATTCTATATTATCATTCAACGTCGAAACACAATAATGTTCAACATCTCAAAATGGATCGCCTATCGATACCATACATGAGTGATAAAGATTTTTTTTGCATGCAAATGAAACGGCGCTCTTGGTTATCACAGTTCTAAATCCTACATTGGATTTCTCTTCTTCTGATCGAAACGACAATCTGCGAAACTCAATCTGTGAAACTCAATCTGTGAATCAATCGTATCAACATATATCTTGCGATGCATGTGCACGCACACAAGATATAGCTATTATACTTTACAACGTGATTGTACGTTTTGAGCATGAACTACTATCCGTTTTCTTTTATCTTTCTTCCTTCTTCAAACGCACGATGAACTTGAGAGATAATTACAGTTGGATAATGTCATAAATTGCACGTTGCGCTTTTGACATCAGACCATTATTTATCTTTTTTCACTTCCGTTTGCGTCTGTTCCGATTGTGGCACCGCAGGTGGCGAAGGATGATCCTCGTATCTGAAGCGATAAAATATTTTTTACACGTCACAACAAAATGGATGTGTGACATATGTGTAATTATATTAGAATCAAAAGAATACTTACGAAAATAATGCCTTGAGGTCTCCTTTGACTAATGCTAAAAGTAGTGGCGTACCTATGCACGCTGGTACTAAATACAGCAGAGCAGGTTGTGCGTGATTAAATAAGTGCATAATCATCATGGTAGCAAGTAATCCCATGAAGTACGCAAAAAATGTCGAATAGAAGTAGATGTTAGTCTTTCTGCTCAAGCTGTTGTCAAATCGCAACAGCAATGCGATAAAGATACCGGGTAATACAATATCACCCAGTCCTAACATGGCAAAATTACCAGCGCTTAGACCCTTTTCTAAAAGATCCTGCGGAAATACTAATTTAATGGGTACTTCGAAAGATTTTGCGACTGTCACCATTACATCTGTACCAAATACCCAAAAGGCATCATAAAATAGAAGACCACAAAGTAAGATGCATCCAGTTACAACATTGTTAAGATGCAACAGTTCGACTCCATTAATAGCAAATGCTATACCAAATAGATTATTGGCTATCCAATGCTGAAAAGAACAAAATGTAACAAAAGGATAAGAAGTATTGATCTATATCTAAATACAAATTCATTTTTCTATTGTTTACCTTTTTTAGAAGATACCAGGCACCCACAAGTGAGCAACATACAAGACACACAATATCATGTAAATTGAATTTGTAGTTAATTATATGCTCCTCCTTATCATCCTTTCCTCTGGTAAATAAAATATGATATTGTGTCTTTGGAATTGCAGCTGGTACCAATGACGAAATCAATGGGCTAAAATTTTATAAAAAATTCATTTATATTCCAATGTTGTAAACATTCATTGGTAATCAAGATAAATGTTTCATTTTAATGGCTATAGAATGTTGAACAATACATTTATAATTATTTAAAAGAGAAAAAGGTCTACCTTGTAAGATGACACAAAGCTAGAATACCAAGAAAGAAGAAATATCCAGCCAATATCAAATTGACATACTCCTTTGCAAATACCTGCCAAAAATTATTTCAAGTTTTATTTTATGAATGTAACATTTTTCTACAAGAATCTAATTACCTTATACAATATATACAAGCCAACTAATGTAACACTAGAGATGAGAGGAAACATGGCAGCTTCTCTGCGAGACATGGTATCAGGTTGCTCACCGCTTGTTTTATACAATTGCTACAACATGCGATCAAGGTAATGTATTAATGTATAAATTATACAAAATTTGATTACACTTACATAAGCACTTACATATCTCTATATGAATGTATCAATGCATTATTTCTACAAGTTATCATTCTTATTCAATCTTATTAAATATTTAATTTTAGAATAGAAATCATTAAGAATTAATTCATTAAAGTTTGAAAGTAAGAACAAATGAGTCAAGGATTTTGATAACAAATTCTTTCGTAATTTTCCAAAATATCGAGAAATGAAGAGATTCCATAAAAATACATGTGTCAAACATATGTCAAAACGCGTGGCTAACCTGCTGTTCCTTATGGTGCCTGACTGCACGATAGCTACCAAAGAAAATCGGCAGAATAGCCATAATAATGAGGCTGCCGTATGCGATTGCCATTCCTTGCGGTGTCGACGGCTCCTTCGTGGTTATCGCATCCTTAAATTCCGTCAAATTTTCCTTCACCTGTGCCGTAATATCGTTCACGGTGCTTTCCATTTTGGATACGTCGACACGATACAACACGACAACGCTACAGGACGAACACTACGAGAAAGAGAGAAAGGTTTTTGATGGCGACTATCCACGATAGAAATAAACTATATAGAAGCGAAACACATTCGAGCGCAGTTTTGTAGCGCTATCTGTAAAGTTATGTAAAATATCGTAAAATCTCTTTTCTCTTCGAAAACGCAAAAAAAAAAAAAAAATAAAACAAAATACAAACTATTACATGATAAATGTCATATGCGAAATGATTACACCATGTGATGTTTTAACATTCTGAGAACTTTGTTAATGTAAATATAATTGTAAGTAGATATGTAGTATCTTATCATTGTCTCCTCCAATTTTGTAAATTTGTATATAATAATAATAATAAAATATGTTTTTGAGAAGGAAAATCGTCGCCCAAGTTTTTTCACTTTTAAAATTTTTTGACAGCGTCAAAGTAAGTTAAAAAAAATTTTGGCATATTTACCATCTCTGCTTTAATTAATTAAAACACAAATTATTTTCTTACATAATTTAAACTACAGCAGAGAATAATTTATTTTTTGAAATTTATATATCTTTTTCATTCTTTTTATGTAGATTGAAGTTCAAGTATAAGAGAATTGAAATTAAAGAAGGGAAGAATAGGATTTGAGCGACAATTTTCCTTCTCAGGGAAAATCGGAGGAGAAAGCATTATACATATTTATCCAATTGTACAAAAAGTATCTTATAAAAGACAATTTTTTTTCAAAAAAAGTCTGACAGATATTTTGGTAAAGATGTTTCAAGACTTGTCCTCTAGATCACTGTCTAGGTACATACACAATCACGAGATGACGTTCGAATTCCTGCGCCCTACAATTGCGGCCGTGGGGAACTGTCGTTTCGATCTTGGTGTGGATGTCAAGATGCTAAGATGGCGACGAGACCGAGCTTTTGGCGCATCGCGGAACGCTTGTCGTCGACACCGGATCACGATTCTCGTACCGGATAGAGGATATTATACGCCCGAGGAGCGAGGAGAGATCCCGCTTCGTCGCAGCTAATATCGCTTGGTCGCGGAATAAAGGGGGGAAAAGGGGGGGAACTTATGCGACACACGTGGCTCGAGATACTTTCGCGCCTGGTCGCGTGATAATTTTGCTTTAGATTTCCACGTTGGATTTTCGAGCGCGTTTATTTATCGTACAAGCCGCTTGAGTTTCATATAAATACAATGGATCCACGTTTGCATAGAAGAACCGAGGTGGAAAAGACACCGAGCGATTTGGTCAGTGGCGTCATAACCTCGAAATCCCGTTTTCCTCGTCGATCGCGACGCGCGATCTTTCCGCGGCGGTTGAAAACGAATATCGGGAGAAGAAAACGCGAGCGATTTGTCTTCGTATTACATATCTTTACTATCGAGCGTGACACTTTTATCACAGACTCGACAGAGATTTTATAGAATAAAATAATGTATAGATATTTTTTTCTCATTTATGAATATTAATAATAAATTGTATATGTTTTGGAAAAAAATTTTTTCCAATGAGAATTACGATTTTCCTGAATAGCAAATTTGTTTATAGAATTCACGGATATTTATTCATGAAAATAATTGTTCCGAGTAGTATCACTATATGAGAAATTCTATTACGATATATAATTTTTCGTAATATCTTCTATTCTCTCTTGCAGATTGTTGAATGGTTAAATGAGGCCAATTTGAGCCTTACTGAAGAAATTAAGGTGACAAACATATGTAAAGTACAAGAACTTTTGTTGAACAAGGAACCACATTTGTTAGAACATTATTTAAATGATATACTACAATTCTCGGTTGATAGAAGCGCTGAAGTCAGAAAAACTATTACAGGATTTATCGAAGAAGCTGGGTTATTATCAATAATTATTTCTTTTTATTATGCAGTAAGAAAAAAATATAAATATAATATTCTATAATTGATTTTCAGAATAAAATATCCAGAAGTGATACCTCGCATAGTTCAAATACTTCTTAGATTAGCCTCTGATGAAACTTCAGTTGTAGCTAAACGAGCACTTAGGGCCAGTGGCAGAATTCTTAGGGCTGCTCTCAAGTGGATCGCCAGTGCTACTGTCGTTACGACAGATATGGAATTAGCCTGGACACAGCTAAGTGCTCTTAAAGTTCAAATTATAAATATGATTGACAGTGATAACGATGGGTAAGTAGAATAATTGGAGCCAGAATATTTTTATCGATTATATATGTCTAATTCTGTTCTATATTTCAGAATAAGGACACAGGCTGTAAAGTTTCTTGAAGGTGTAGTTTTAATACAAACATATCCAGATCCTGACAATCCAAAGAAATCCGATGATTTCTCGCTTGAAGATATTCCGTTAACTTTGAAAATAGCGCGTAGACGGAAATTAGAGGAAGAAGCAAATCATGTTATGGATTTGCTGATTAAGTTTCATGGATCTCCGCATGTCAGCAGCGTCAATTTAATGACATGTATGGGTTCTTTGGCATTAATTGCTAAAATGAGACCACAGTTTATGTCAAACGTAATTCAAGGTACATATTTATTTCTATACACATTTTTATACTCTTGTCTACACAATATTCTGCATAAAATTTAATAATTAATATTAATTAATATTAAATATACAGCATTACAAAGGTTGCAACATGATCTACCGCCGACACTATCTGATTCTCAAGTAACCAGTGTACAAAAACAATTAAAACTTACACTTTTCGGACTAATGAAACATCCTGCTAGTATAGAATACGCTTCAACTATAGCTAAACAATTGACTCAGCTTGGAGCGAAAGAGCAGGAAATTATTAAAGCGTATCCAAAACCGGAGATGTCCGTCGAATAAAAAAACGTCAACAGGTATGTATATATATATATATATATATATATATATATATGTATATACGTAATTTTAAAATAATAATGTTTTTTATTGTGTATTATTCACAATTTCGTTTATTATGTAAAGGAGATAGCAGCTGCTAGCGCCGCAAAGCGAGCAAAAATTGAAGTAGCTTTGATATCCGATGAAGCAGAGGCGACACCGAGTCCTGTTTCAGTGTCTAAATTACCAGATTTGATCGAACTTTCTGAAAGTTTTATTGCTGAGAGACTTAGTGTAGAAATAGCAACAGATTTAGTGATGGATAGTATGGTAAAATTGCAGATTATACGTTATACGTCTATGTCATAAAGTAAACTTCAAATTATTAATTTGTATTATTGAATTGCACCATTACATTTAATAGGCATGGGTACCAGATACTATGACGACAATTTTTCAAAGAGAATATCAACCCACAGCAACTACTGATATTAACATACAACGTCAAACAATCGCCAAACTTTTAGCAACACAAATCAAACAGACTAGAGCAAAGAAGAACAAGAAGGACAAGGAAGAAGATGCCGTGATGGAAGATTTAATTAAGAATCCGACCATTAGCGTAGCCGAGGTAAAACGAGAGCGTAAACGTGAAAAGGATCGAGAAAAGGAGAAAGAAGCAAAAGCATCACTAGAAGCTCACGAAAAATCTCTTGCAAAAGCTAGAAATCGTTTGAAGGCATTGAAATTAGTTGAAGTGACAAAACCGCTTTCGAAAGAAACTAAAGAACGAATGTTACTGATGGCTGTCAATAGGATATTACTTTCGGAAAAGACGGCAGTTCTTGGTGGCGTAGCTGCCGTAAGGTACGGTCAAACGTAATTATATTGATAAGCATAAAAATTTTCATATATAACATAATTATCTTTAATAATTTATGTCTATCCTTTATTACAGATCCAAAATTCTGACTACATTGGCAGCCACATTCAATCCTTACATTAAGGAAGCTGTGCTGCGTTATATTACCGATGATATGCGAAATCGATTAGATTTAGCGTTAGGTTGGTTATATGAGGAATATGCATTGCTACAGGGATTTCAAAGGCGGACTACGCTATGTACAAAACCTCAAGAGGCTCCACATCAGGCGTATAACTTTTTATTGTGTACTTTAGTATCAGCTATTGATTTAATTCAGGGAAAAGACCGCGATACTTTATTATCCAGGTAACATTAAATTTATAAAATATATACAGAATAAAATCTAACAGTATATCTATGTTAATCTGCTATGCTAATCTGCTGAACATATATATTTTTAATATATGTATTATATTTCTTATAAAAGACTTTACTTGGAAGCACCTTTAATAACGGAGGATGCTGTAGAGGCTTTAAAAATGGTATCAGCTGACGAAACTAGAGGTCTTATACCACTTCAGCTTTTAAAAGAAATGGTAGTGCGTAGACCAACCAAACAACTGGTATTTTTGAATGTCTTGTTATGTCACACCGGACATGAAAATAATACAGTAAGATAATATGATACATGATGCATTCAAAATATATCTGCAAGAGAGGACTAATACTATACAAAATAAAATTGCAATATGTTTTAATAAATAGATACGGGAGGCTGCAATACAGTTAGTCTGCCAATTATATAGCCGGGCAGAATTAAGTAAAATGATCGAGGAATATGCAGTTCTGTATTTAGGCTTTTTACGCCTTCATAATCCACCAGAAATTGTTTTCGGACAAGATAGAGGCAGACCGCAAATTGAGGACCAATGGACCGAATCAACTACGCGTGCCTGTTTGGGATTGTATCTTGCTCTTCTTAGCGAGCATCAAGACCTCATTCATGAGTGAGTGATAAAGTCCTTATTAAATTATTAAATAAAATCTAAAAATGTATTATATATTTAATTAATGTATTTATTAAATAATAGATTAGCTAGGGTATATACGTCAATGGGAGCAGATGTAAAACGTATTGTGTTAAGATTGGTGGAAGGACCAGTGAGATCCTTAGGCATGGGTAGTCCGCAACTACTTGCACTTGTCGAAAACTGCCCGAAAGGAGCTGAAACTTTAGTCACAAGAATTATTCATATCCTTACAGAGAAATGTATGTTATTATTCCTTTAAAAATATATAATTTTTTCTGTTGTTTTATATTACGATTTATGTGTATGCAGCTGCCCCAAGTGCAGAATTGGTAGCCAGGGTACGTGAGTTATATCAGACCAGAGTCTCCGATGTCAGATTTTTAATACCTGTCCTGAATGGTCTCACAAAGAAAGAAGTGATCGCCGCACTTCCAAAATTAATAAAATTAAATCCTATCGTTGTAAAAGAGGTGAATAATTTGTTTAAATTTTATTCGCTATATTAAGCACAATGAAAACATAACATGTAAATTTGTACTTTTTAGGTATTCAACAGATTACTCGGGACACATAACAATGACAGCGGGGTACCGCATACGTCGCCTATAACACCCGCAGAATTATTGATAGCTCTACATAATATAGATCCAAGCAAGGCCGAATTAAAAACCGTAATTAAAGGTGAGATTATTTTATCTGAAGCATATTCAGCATTCACATTATTCTTGGGGAAATCTTATTTATATAAATTTGACAAATATTTCTTCTTTCGTTTGTGCAGCAACATCCCTTTGTTTCGCTGAGAAGCAGGCGTACACACAGGAAACAGTCGCCGTTGTGATGCAACACCTTATGGAGATGACGCCTTTACCGACGTTATTGATGCGCACAGTCATACAAAGTCTAGCCCTCTATCCCAGGTTAAGCGGATTTGTCATGAACATACTTCAGCGTCTAATTCTGAAGCAAGTGTGGAAACAGCCAAAAGTGTGGGAAGGTTTCGTCAAGTGCTGCGAACGGACACAGCCGCAAAGTTTCGCTGTTATTTTGCAATTACCACCGGCACAGTTGGCGGAAGCGCTCCGAATGGCGAACAATTTACGTGCTCCCTTGCTAGCTCATGTTGAAGCTTTTGCCGAAAATCAGGTAATTCCGAAGTATATTTTAAAGCGAAGTATATTTTGCATTATTATGAGGAAGTTATTTTTATCGATGAATTAAACAATCTTCCCATTATTAGATAAATTAATATTAAAATATTCACATTAAAACTAAAAATATGATATTAAGGTGCAGTAAAACTTTATGAATGATATTAAATTACTTTGGATTTAATGTTAAGGTTTTTTTTCCAGAAAGCACACATTCCGCAATCAATAATGGATGTCATACAGGGTAAAGTACCCTGTGACATGCACGATGAGTTTGATATTGTGAGTAAAGATGCCTGTATATAAAGCAACGATTTTTTGAACCCTCTCTTTATAATATAATTCTTATAAAATAAATACGCGGTATTTTCTCGACCCAAAATATCTCTTCCATCAATTTCTTTCAGGCACCACCTGGTGATTATTCGAATGATCAAAAACCAGATACAATGGAAATTGATCTTTCGGAACCAGCCCCTCCCGGTTTAGATTAGCATAAAAAAATCATTCCAGTGTTAAGATCGGAAGCATCGTTTATCGGATATTTTAATATTAACAAATCCATTCTGTAATTATACAGTAAATTATTTCTTTTTTTCATCGCTTTTTTATGTCGCTTAAAGCGATAATTAAATTTTATTATATATTAATTACATATTGCATCGATTATGGTTCATATCTCTATTTGGCGCTAAATATGATCTCTGAAATTTGAAACTAATATTTGGTATCAAATGCAATCAAGTAAAATCGTAGATTTACTTAAAATGACGATCGAAATAACTTCTCGAATATATATTGATTTTCTATAATTAGTTTGATATCGTCTATCATCATTCACTTTATAAGTTATTTTATTTTCCTCAATATAAGAATTTAAGCATTTATTTCGGTATAGCAGAATATATAGATGCTATCTCTGACCTTTCGTATTTAATTAGCATTCTATAATGATATTAAATATTGATAATTTTCTGTTTAAAAAAATATCTTTAAAATTCGTAAATTTTTTTATAAAATCTTAATTTTAATTAGATTTCAATTTTTTACATGTGATGTTTAGTCATATGGAAAAATCAGTTGTAAAATATCGGTTATAAGCTAAAGTATAATTTAATTTATATCTTACAAATAGATTTTTGTACAAACTGCAAGAAATTTAATTGTTTGACTTAACAAAAATTTTTTTTTATATTTATACATTGATTGTCTGAGTAGATAAATACAGATAATCAATTGGTTTACGCTTTTGATCACTTATCTGTTACTCGCGTATTATGAATTAAATCGTTTTGCTCTATATTTTGTTTCATAAATCTAAAAACTTCTATAAAATTACATTGTGCTTATACCAATATAATTTACTTATTAATTGGAATAGAAGAATAATGCATTTAATACAATTAATTTCGTTAAATACTAATGCTGCTGCATAAAGAAAGACTTAATCACAAATCAGTCTCAACATTATACATATGTATATATTTATTATCTGTACGTTAAAAGATGAAATAATTATGCCTAAGTTCAAAAAGTATATAATATGTAAAATAGACTCAAGTACTTTTACTAAGTATACTTTTTTAATATCATATAAAAGTAATAAATTTTTTTTGCAATAGTATATAATCTGCAAGTGTATAAAAAAATAATAAAATATTTTTTGTTATATAAATTCTCATATTTGTTGCATTCTTCCATAAAAAATAAGTAAAATATAAACAATTAAATATTTATAAACAATATAGATTATTCAGAATTTTATATACATATCAAAAATATAATTTGAAAATTAACATTTTTTCCTGAGAAATTTTACAATAAAAATTTTAAGATTGATAATCTTTAAGATTGTTAAACATCGCTAAAATCCTTATTTACATATATAGTATAAAATAAAAAATTTATATATATGGTAATAAAATAAAGTTATATATATTTATACTTGCAAGATATGATAATTATAAGATATAATATATATATGTATCAAACATTATGCAAAGTCAACTCCAGTATCTAACAAATCTCGTAACATAAAGGATGCTTTTTTTGGAAGAATTCTGAAAATGTATAAATCTTGTTTAGATTACTCATCTATTATTTCAGGCATAAATAAAAATGTAAGCAGCGAAAATACCTAAGTACATGTCCGAGATAAAGCAGATATCCTGGCACGCTAAATTCTGCATAGTTTCGACGAACACCATCTAAAATTTGTCTAGCAGCTTCTGCGGCAGGCATTGTACCAAAGTAACTCGGTAATCTGCAAAATATATTTTTTTCAGTAATTCAGAGATTAGGAAAACAAATATAACCATCGCATATAGATATTAATAAAACTAAACACGTATGGAACATTTACAAATACTGATCACCTAAAACGAATATCGTTTGCGATTTCCGTCCCAACGATAAATGGATAAATGTGAACCAATGAAACGATAATGTCGCTATTTGAATGTCTCAATTCCATGTGCAAAGATTCGGCTAATCCCTGAATTCCAAATTGAGCGGTGGATAAAGGAACTCGGGTTCCTCGGCCACTCGATCCATTGGAGAGACCGGCGACAGAGGAGAGGATTGTGATATGACCTTTATGAGCACGTCGCATACATGGCAAGACTGAATCCAACAACTAAAAGAAATGATATTATTGTACTTGCATTAGAAATTTATATATCAAGATGCACATAAGAAACATACTTACCCAAAAGTGACTGATGACTGACAGATCCATGATGTCTCTCACCTTTGACGATTCTTGCACTAACGCACGTGGACTAGGTAAACCACAACAATGGAAAAGCATCGTAATGTCTCCCAACTCGTTCTTAATTAAATTCACTGTTTGTGCAACCTAACATCAACATTTATATTAATGATGATTATGTGTACCAAAGATTAAAACTATTATATAATTAGCTGAAAAATAGGAAATACGAATGATAGGTACATACCATGTCTTTATCTCTCACATCACACTGATAGCTTCTGCAGGCTCCGTATAATTGCTGGGCACGTTCCACGGTATCGGAGCAGGCTGACGCATTAATATCTACGCAGGCAACGGTGACGCCAAACTGGCACAGTTGTAGAGTAAGTTCCTTACCTATCCCACGTCCAGCACCTACAACCTGAATCATAACGCGTGTTTGCAACGAACACAATAACATCTGCAGGAGATGAGAGACGATTTCGACATTACCATGGCCACCTCGTGGTTGAGATTTTTTAACGGTGGCGGTCTGAACATTCTGTAGATAGCGATCAGGATCGTGCAGCTCACTCCGATGAAGAGCATCGCGAGATCCAGCATCAGGATGCACAAGGAGTATATCCGCAGCAACATCTCCGGTGGCCAAATATTTCCTAGCTTACCCTGCAACAGGAGATTGCATAACGCGTAGAATATTCTCTTAAGATTCCTCGATGAGACATAAGATTTTGTGAGAAGATCCGAGGATACGTGCATGATTTCATGCCGACAATACAGATTACCGTACGTACCATCTTTCCAGAGTTATCTACCATTAGAAATACGCAATATACGCAATATATTTGAAAGACAAAGAAACCTGCGATGCGATGCGTAGATATACCTTGTATCAATCGCTTTGTGAACTTTGTCGATAACGCGTATCGCGTCATCGGCCAGGCAGGACATCACGCAATTCCTCGCGTCGGTATTATCTGATGGTTTTTTAATGAGTTCGACGGGATATTTTGTACGGCATGCTCATGACCGGGATGATTAGACTCAACTAGAAGTAGACCGGAACATTCTAGCCGATCGGTACTTATCATGACCACCATAGATTTGATTTCTGTTCCCGCACTAGACTGCGCTAAAATTCTCCGTCTCGCTTTTGTTAACCTTCATGTAGATATATATGTCTATTTCATTTTAGGTACAACTTAGTGCAGACTAGTTCAGCTACGAAAAGGCAGACCACATGTCTAATCGGCGTCTAACGCACTCCGAATTTCTCGTCCAGTTGGTGCAGCCCTCTGAGGAAACTCCGACCAAGCGCATCTAATTATCCTACAATTATCCAGTCAGCAGAATGTCGGCGGACTGGCAACAGATCAGAAAATGTTAGCAAACGGACTGACGGACTGACGGACTGACCTCTGAGATTGCATTCCGCTTATGTTTTGTTAATAGAACCTGTTGACATTCCATGCCAACAGATTTGCGGCATAGCATGTTAGTAAAGCTTTGTCATATTTCTGACAACAGTTTACCGGCATCGACAATTACAGATCCTGTTTGAAATTTGCTGCCTTTCTGCCATCAGAAGTTAACAGTATACTCCGCCCAAAATTTCTGTCTCTGCAGATTTGCCTGTTGGGATATCATATGAATTATATTGCGATAAGCCTCATACGGCTTTACTCTACGGACGCCGCCGATATCTTCAGCGCGATCTTCCGTTAGCGATAAAAATAAAATATATTCAACGGACGAAGTTCAGTTCGCTTTATTTACCTATATATACCGAAACCGCAGTCCTATAGGTGTAGAACTCTGACGTGACGTTCACATGATGCGATGACGATGCGATGCAATATCAGTCTTGTGGTTTCCATCTTATTGGAAATTGGAACTGCTTTATCACAGTTTTGAGCGCAGAAGACGTAATAAATTCAACGAACACGAAATAAATTTGTCGAGCGTAATAAAATGAATTGTAATAAAATCAAAACTCTAACATCTTTAAAATTACATTATCTTTCGGAGAAGAGATTCTTTGTCACGATTTTGGACTTTGTTTAATTTTCATCTCGGGGTTTAATTTACTTATCCTCCTTATCCTTTTCTTAAATTCTTAACATTAAAAAAAAATGAAAAATAAATTAAATCGAGATTAAAATTAATTTGCATTAGCAGAAATAGACAAATCAAGATTTAAAAAAAAAAAATATCAAGATTTGAAGAAAAGCAAATAGCAGTCATTTCTTGCGATATTCTAAGGAAAGCGTGAAATTATTTTCATTTCTTTCAAAGATTGGATGGCTTATTAAAATCAGGGAGTCAGGATTTTTATTTCGATGTATTATTAATAATAATTACTGTTTAATTTCAATATACACAAATTTCCGTGTCTGACTCTCATTAGCCCAATTCTTTAATTTTTAATACTGAGAGCTGTGTGTGTTTTTACAAATCTCGCGAAGCATCATCCGCGCGCATGCGCAGATTATAGATTATTACATACATGATTCCGTAACGGAACGGAATTTCACCTGTCAACCAGCGAAGATTCGACAGCCATGTGGTACGAGATACTTCCGCCGTTGATAATAGCAAGCTCGGTAGCAGTAGTACCTCAATGGGCAATTTGGCACATAAATGAATTTTTTCTGGGAAACGTAAGTAAGCGCAAGTTTCGCATGACATAACCTAACCTCCTCGATCGTGAACTCCTGGGCATTACAGCTGAAATAGAGAATGTAAAAACAATAGATAATTTGGCCTGGATTCAGAAATATTGGATGCATCGTTTTATCCTTGTTATTCATCGAATGTTAAACGAGAATGAAATGATGACCTGGGTGCACTTGGATGTTATTTCTAAACGCACCCTTGATTTAAGAAGTATAATATTTTATCGGATTTAAGACACAAGCGAAAGTGAAAAGTGCAATTAAAGGGCGTCTATTTGGATCGAACATTTATGTATCATATGATCCACAGGTCAGGAGAATTGAGAACTTCGAAGAAATAAAAATACTTGTAAAACTTGAAAAAAGTAAAAAAAAACTAATCCTTGTAGTTGTATATAATTTTACAAGAAAAATTGACAAAATCATTTAAATAATATCTGAAGAGTTCAAAATCTACTTCTGAATGCATTAATAATTTCTTCGAATTGAAGACACTCCAAGTTTTAGAGAAAATAATTAAAAAAAAACTTGTAAACATCTTGAAATATATTTAACAATAATGCTTAGTTTTATACAATGCAAAAATTTTATTGAATAGATTAATTTTATTGAATGGAAAATCGCACATATATTTATTATGTACTTTGACTGAAACCAACTCGCTAAAATTCAGTTAATTCAATTTTTATTATTGTGTGTTATTGTATTCATTTCACAGAAATATTTTGTTATTTTTTATTTCGGTACTGCTTTATGGATATAGGCAAATTAAATTAATGAGAAACGAAAATGAATATATGATGTAAAATTGATTTTGCATGGAAATGAGATATTATTTTTTTGGTTTCTTTTTCCAGCCTATGCGTAGGGACCTGCATCAACTATGGGATCGCCATATGTTTACAAGAGACTGTCGCATAAGCGGAGCTCCATGGAAAAATAGGGTAATTTGTTAATTAATATATTTATAAAAATTAAAATGTTTTTAATATCAAATTTATATGACATGTACGTACTTATGTTTTTCTCATAGGGACTACAGGATATTCCTGATGATTAAAATACAATAAATTCATGTAATGCCGTAGTAATATGATATTCGATATGGCTAACAAGTTATCATTTAATTATAATCTACATGTAATATAATAAATTGTATACATAAATACATATGACATTTAATATATTTTATCTACTATTTCTGACTTCTTAAATCCAAAAACTAAATTATGATTATTTATTATAGTATTAATGATAATCGTTAACATTACAGTTACACAATATAAAGATCAATTATTGTAACAATATAATTTATTATTAGTAATAAAAATAAAATAGTATTGGAAAAGTTAAAATGTTAAATGTTTTAATTATACACGTTACATAATCAAAATTTAATACTTCTGAATTTATATTTGATTTCATATTTATCAAATTTATATTTATCAAGTTTAATATTGTAATTTGCATCGAAATCTGAGCCATTGGAAAATGTCACGTTCGAGTAATGAGATAAACAGGAATGTTAGATGTTATCATTTGTGTTTTATTCGACGCGAGTTATAATAATTAATTCCAGCGGGAAAGCACCTCGCTAAATTAATGAATTGTAAAATTGCAATCGTAAGAGGATGTAGGTTGGATTAGTTGTGCTTGCACAGATGTCTTACGGTCGGAGAGGAGTTAGAATCAACGGAGTAACATTATCTTCATCCCGAAGTCTCGAGTAGTTCTTAGCTAAGCGTTTCACGAATACGCCGTCGTAACATGCGCGCAGTATTGATAAGATAAGGGCGTAAATACCAAGCGGGAAACTCCGGTTCCCCAAAGTCTTAAGTGTGATATTTTCAGAAAATCAATAGTTAGCGGTACTCCCGGTAATGTAACTTGGTTACTTTATCAAGTTAACGTACGTGCTTCTCGAGCTTTAGATAAATAATGGGGCATGCCGCTTCCACCGTATTTAGGACGTGTGCCCCGTGTCATATACTTGACGGTTTCAGCGAGATGTTCGAGAGATGCTGACGCGTAATTAATATTGACTCACGTCTGCATATCGCGTTTACCGTTTACTCTCGCGCGACATGATTCCTATTTATCCCGTTACGAATATAATTGTTCAATATACCCGTATTCATATGTTAACAATGCCATTCATTTAGCGACAATATTCCGCACCAAGGCATTCGTTCCGTAATAATTTTAACGTATACATATACATATATAATAAATTAAATATATCCATAAATATATTAAATTTATTATAAATATATAGTATTAAATTATATATTTATAATAAATTAAGTTAAAACAATAACATAAATTATATATATTTTAATGTAATGTAATTCATTGTTATTATCAATAAGTTACATGGAAATAGGATTGCCATATTAAAATTTTCAAAACTAGGACTTACAAGCCAAAAACCCCGGACAAAAATGCGCTTAAATTAATAAAATTGATTAGAACAGTAAATGAATCATTATTTCACATTTCTAATTGTTTATTAGCATCATTCACAGCAAAGAGAAATTTGAACTGAATACTAAATAAATACAGATTATTTTGATTTAAAATAAAAAGTTTTATTATAGGTTTAGTTTAAGTTTTATTAGGTATTAAATTAAAAAATTTTATGTGATATCTGTGCTATTTGGTAATGCAGAGTAATGCGAGAGGAATCAAAACAAAATATTTAGAAAATTTCTTGAAACCCCGGACGCTTTCAAAAAATCTCCTCCGGACGTTCCCGGACGTCCTAAAAAAGAGGACAGTGTCCGGGGAAAAGAGAACGGATGGCAACCCTACATGGAAATATAGACAAATAAGTAATAGATACAAATATAATTATATAATTTTTACGATTCACGATTTTACGTGAAAGAAAGAAAAGGGAATTGGGGGAAAGTACGGGATACAGCAGTACGCACTTCTCTTAATTATGAAAGCGTTTAACGTTGAAAGATTAGGACTCGCATGAAATTTTTACAAACGGAAGAGCAATGGATCCACCGGTCAAAGGACACGCCGGTTTAAAACGGGAGAGCGCATTTGATGTGCTTGGAGAGTCCGTAAGTTACTCCCCGAGAGTTACTTCGGGAAATACCATTCCTGTGGTTCCGCGGTTTCTAAAAGGCGGTGGTTAAGAAATTTCACTTCAAAGTGACATACGCCGCGTAAACGGGCCAAGTAAAAACTTTCCGACCCGAGACCCTCAAAATCGCATGAAAAACTTTTACGCGCTTCAAGCATGGCATTCACCGGAACATTTGCCTTCGCGAGTGCGAGATGTGTGTGTATGTGTGTGTGTGTGTGTGTGTGTGTGTGTGTGTGTTCGTGTGACAATAAGCTTAACGTGGGTTTTTGTGCTATTTGTAAACACGTGGGTGACAACGATACGTTTCCCAGTTATTTGAGCAACAAGTGTGCCGAAGGATGGGTTCAGGGAAGTATGTTACTCTTCGTGCGATAAACTTTGACACTTGAGGTCGTTGGATTGACGGGAAATAATCACTGCCAAGAGTTAATATAAGTGTTAATAAAACAGCCCCAAGAACAGATTTTATTCGTGATGAACGCTAAACGCCCGATACGTGTAACGTCTCACTTAGATGTATGTATAGAATAATTTTCATACATAATTTCTCTACATGTCTTTTCCGATATGTCTTCTGGGAATTATTTATAAAATTATCGATACGTTCGATGTAAATAAGATATGTAAATGTCGCTGTCGTTAAAAACATATTCTAAAATTATAAGGTATCACTTATACTAATGTAATATTGACCTAATTAAAAATGTATCGCAAAAGATTGATTAAAAAGTAAAAAATCAAGTAAAAAGAGTAACGTAATAGAAAAAATATATAATCTTAAATCAAGACACATATTATTGTTTATAATAAATAAAAACAGTAACATCAAAAAATGCAGACGTAAGGTTAAAATAACGTCTGAATTTTTCACGTTCTTCTGGCTTAATTATAAATTATTATTATTATTTGCGTCACCGACGTTATTTTGGCTCGTCTTGAAAAAACTCTTCAAAAACCACGATGCCCTTTCAACGTCGGTTTTCGTGAGACGGTTGGCGTATTTTAATAGACCGCGTCGTAAGAAAATCTTGGCGCGAAATCGACCGGTCGTGGATTTTCAGGATGACAGATTAAGAATTAATATCTCGAGAGTAGCCGGTGCCGCGAAGAATATTACCTAGTACGCGCGCACACGCGGAATGAAAATTCTCCGCTTGTCAGGCTGCCAGAGAAAGAAATATCCGGCGGTAAGGGAGGAAGGGCGACCTCTCGGTGCCGACAGGGAATTCTTATTTCCTCTTCTCCTTCGCCCCTCTCCCCTCCCGCCACGTCCCGTAAAGCTCGTTTTGCTATCCGTTTTACTCAGTTCAATATACATCCAGGGCAAAGACGCTCCCCGAAATCCATCCTGCCTAAGATGAGGAAGGTCGATGAAGGGGGATGAGAGACACGCGGCACGCAGGGAGAAGTTCCAGATGTGCGAAACTACGACTTGTTTTCCCTCTTTCCGGAACCCCCGAAAAGTACAGGATCGACCGCCAAATGGGCAAATACAGATAACGAACAATCGATGGTCTTGCCGGTGGCAACCGTGTTGCTGCGCTGCTCTTTTTGTAAAAACGAAGATTTTTTTTCTTTTTTCTTACACGAGAAACAAGCAGAGATAGTACGAAATGAAATTATCATCACGGAAAAATAAAATTGTGCGCATAATGGAAAAAATATTAACAATAAATATTAAATTTTAGAAATAAAAATTAGAAATAAAGATACAATAAAGGTACAATGTTTAATCTTTATTTTTAATTTTTATTTTCAAAATTTAATATTATTTCTGTTTCTAGTATTTTCTCCATCGCGAGGCCCAAGATTAGTATTTTCTACGATCATTGATTTAATTCTCACGCTTTCAGAATCACACACGTTTGGATGTGCCTTGAAGTGAGTGCCTTGAGTTTTTTTTTCGTATCAAAATTCGACCCTCTTGCTCGAATTGAAAAATAAAAAACACATGTTTTTATTAATTCAATAACTACACGTCTATCTTCCTTTAACCCATCCTGGAACTCTGCATTTCCACGTAATTTCCAGCGCGCAGCCGTTTCATTTCCAGCCTCTTATTAATGTATAGGCATTACCGGTGGTATTTGGGCCGGTCGAATGAGAAACGATCGATGACCGGTGATTAATTCAAATTTGCGATGTACAGTTTATTAACGTGAGACGGCCGATCGATCCGGAAAAAAAAAAAGAGACAACGGCGACAATATCGGCGGATGTTTTTCCATCCGTGGCGGCGCTGCGCAATGCCGCAAGCAATATCCGCGCCATCGCGGTCGACGTGGTATTTAATCAAGTAGGGAGATTGATATTAAATATGTACGTATATGCGAGAGTGATATGTCATAATATTCGCGGCGCGAATCCGAGAAGGCTTTACGGTAAATAAATTACCGCTTCGCAATTACACAAAGGGTGTAGCGCCCCCCCCTCCCCCCCCCCGTATCGACCTCTTCGAATTCCTCGTTATTGGCTCGTAAAAGGCAATCCCCCCCCCTCTTTCCTTTCCGAAAAACATTAAAGTCAGCAGGGAACGAGTAGTAAAGCCAATGTATACCAAAGGATGTATTATTCATGCCTCTGTGCGAAGTCCTCTAAGGAAAGTCCCTGCGGAAGCGTCCCTATTTCGGCTCGTCATATACCTAAGAATATATGATCTCTGAACAAGTAAAAAAAAAAAGAAGAAAAGAGAGAGGGACAAACTATCGTCACGATGATCGAATATCTCCCGTGATCGATTGTCTTTAACAGAAAGTTATGCTCATGTATTAATGTCAAGTATTTTGATGGATGTAACCGATTCGTAAACAATCGATGTGTTCCCATTAATAAAAGCATAAGCGTGCACAGTGTTATTAATTTGCTAATTATATTAACTGCGTTAATGTCAGGTGTTTTGATGCGTTAATAAATTCGTAAACAATCGAAAGAATGTCGGAAGTTATTTTAAAATTAATGTGTATTATTATCATTCAATTATCATTGCGTGTGACAACAATATTATATCAATACATTCTATTTAGATACTATTATATCAATCGATACTATTATCAATATTAGATCAAAGTTTATTTTTGATAGAACGTCAAATAATTTAAAGAAGATATCGATAATTATCATGATAATTAATGTCAAAATAATGATCGATATCTTTTTAAAATTCTAACTTAAAAATATGTTACATTTATTCTTATTAACGATCAAAAAATTATGAAAAAGTTATAGATTTTTAGATTATAATTAAAATATTATATTTAATATAATATACTATATTTAAAATATTTAAAATAAATTATATAAAAAACTTTTTGCTTTAGAATCTTTAGAATCAAAAATTATTTAAATATGAAATAGAGACATATTTCAATAGAAATATAATAAAATTAAGAAATAATGAAAAATCTCAATTTTTTTATATAAATATTTTAAGTATTTAAAATGATTTATGTAAAGTTCATTGCAATTCAAAGATTAGTTATTCTGTTGATAAAAATTTAATTTTATTTGTACCATTACTCTTCATAAAAATATATTTTTATTTGTATAACAATTAATCTCTGCATCGCACTGAAGCTTTACTTATAAATAATCCTAAATATTTAAAGCATTTGTATAAAAAAATTGAAAATTTCGTCATTATTTCTTAATTACATTTCCGTTAAAGCACACTTCTACTGATTTATTAAAATAATTTTTTATCTGAATTCTAAATCGTCACTAAACTTTTTTACATTATTTTTAAATGCAATTTAGAACTTTATAAATTTTTCATAATTTTTCATTGTAAATATAAAAATTATAAAAATAGATGTATAATACATTCTTAAATTTGAAGGAAAGATCAATTTTGTCAACTTTGTAAAAATAATATTATTTAATTACTAACATTTATTATCGCTTTAATTATCCAATCTGTATACTTGTCTGTTTACTTATCTATCGAAGTATCAGTTGCATTTTCCACACAATTATTATTAACGGCATAATAAAATACAATGACTTACGGCGCAGTATGACTTTCGACAACAAGGCGCGACGGCTCGTAGGAAAAGCTGCAGCTGTAAATCCTGCTTCCATCTGTACTTTATAAATCATGTACGGAGCGTATCGTGAATCTGAGCGAAATCGGCAGAACGGTCGCGCAAGATACGCGACATTAATCTTAGATCGCGATAGGCGATGTTGCTTCGCGACTCAGGGCGCGATTTCCGGCGGACACATTTTCCGGAGCGGACTTTTTTTTTCCTCGCAAAACTGCACTTTCGCCGAATCTACGGAGAATCGAGGGAGTGTTTCGATCGTCCTTACGAATTCTCCCGGAAAGTGGAAACTTATTGACTCACGGGCGTACATCCGGCGTACACCCGAACCAACGGCGACATTGACGTGTGTCTCTATAATCGCACGTCTCTCTCTCTCTCTCTCTCTCTCTCTCTCTCTTTTCTTGCAACAAATTTATAAGCAGCATATATTTTTATCATCCGTCGGATGCGGCCGCGAGTGTTTATTATTTCGACCTTTTAAATTCTTCAAATCTAACCGTAACGGTTAGCGTATGTGACTGTCAAAGCGTCGTCGGTGTCGGGAAGTGAAAAACTATCTTCCGCAATATTATCTATCGCAATATTATTAGCGTTCCTCGTCAGCGGCCCGCGCGCGTTTCTTTTTTCAGAGAAATCGTTATTCCACCGTACCGCGTTTGGAGGACGGATAATTATATGTCGCTTTATCTCCGCGAAAAGTCCGCAGCGCCGGGATAACCGCTTCATTGCCAATTCCAATTTGAGAAAATCGTGGAAAGTCCGGTATGTCCACATCGGGGACAAAGTTGTTCTTCCTCTTCCCGGACTTGCCGCGCGGGGGGGTTGTGCCGCGGTCGCTCGTTACTTTCCAACGCAAACGAAACGTCTATCTCCCTTTTAGCGTCGACGATGTAATCCGCGGGAGCGACAAAATTAAATGAAATGGCAGCGGAAGAATTAATTACATATTACACATTGTCCGACTGCGTGACACTCGTGAAAGGCCGCGTCCTCATGGCGGTTTCTATCCGCACTTCTGCCGCACGATAGTTGGACGTTTGTTTGAAGTTTATCCAAAAGGTAATTCATTTAAACCGCTTTTTTTTTATCCGCGGGTGATCGCTTTTTGTTTCTAGCAGCGTTATAAATCACCGCGCGATGCGAAAACGTTAAAATAAAAAGCCGTCTCTTGCATTCTGAGCTTCTGTTGGAAAATGCAATAATGTCTGGATTATAACAGCGGGTAGTGAAGAGAACAATCGAAAGGGTAAAAGCGCCTGTTACACAATTCGCAAAGGCATTTCACAATATAACGTATATACATCGTATATTTATTAAAAAGCTAATTATAAACTATATGTGTGTTATCAAGTTAATAACAATTTATAATATCACATCCTATATTCGACAGAGAAATCATAATTCTATTGTCGTAAGAAAAAAGAAATAATTACATATAATATATAATAATAATTTAATTATTTTCATTTCATTTTGTCTTTGTATTATGTGTGTATGTGTGTGTGTGTGTGTGTGTTACACACACACACACACACACACACACACATTAGAGCATGCATAATTTATTTTCAACAAAAATAAAATGCAAATTAAAATTTAATGTCAAATTTTGCACAAGATATTTTTAAATTCTAGAGAAATCGATGTATTCATTTCTTTTCAACGTTTTCCTCGGTTTTAGATCTGCACGAAAATGTTTTAAAAATTATTTCGGAATATTTTCTTACAAATTTATAAGCGGAAATACTCAGGATGCAAGAAATAAAATGGACCCCATGATGTATCTAACAATTCCCTGTTAAAAGCGGATAGGAAAACAATCGAGGTTAATGACGGAACAATTGCCTTTGAAATAAGTAACAATTTTTGCCTAACGATGCAAAACAAACAGATAATTTATGCCGGTCTATTTGCCCCGCTGAGTCTCTAAGTCGATCAATTTTCTCTCTCTCTCTCCCTCTCCCTCTCTTCGTTTTTCTCTATTTCTGTATCTTTTTTTTAAAAACGTTAACTTTCAATTTGCGAGCGCGAAAGCGAGAACTCGCCGTTTTTAGATTCGCCATCTATATTCGCGAGGTAGTGGTGCCATCTTTGAAAACCATTTTCACGGATAAATGAAAACTTGCTGAACTTACATCTCGCGCCACTTTGCATACATCTGAAAAGTTTCGTGGAAAATTAAAATTTTCCCCGCCACGTCGGTTTTCGCCACGAAATTTCAATTGGCTTGTCAGAAAGGCGAATCCTGGCCACCTGGATTTTAATTAATGCGGCAAATCAAGATCGCAGATATTCCTTTAGATAGATTTTAAATTGTCATATCGTGTTAGACGGCGGGAGGGGTGATAGTATAAGCGTATTATTATCCGTTATGAATTTCGCAGAAGATTTATGAAAACATTTCCGAAATTAATTGCTACATTAAATCGAGTATGACAGATATTATCGCCGTGGAAATGATTCACGTTCTGTCATTAATTATACAACAATTTGACGGTCCCCGCGATAGTAATTAGGAAATAAAATAAAACGGAAAGCATTAAAATTCGCGGCGTTCCTCCGGAATTTCGATGTCGTCCATATTTAAAGTGTAATAGGTACAGAAATAATAACGAAATAGAACGAAATTTCGCTTTTTCCACACTGAAGATTTTCAATTCAAATTTATCTTTATCGCCGCTGATATATGTTTACCGAACATCCTATGCATATCATATCCCTATTTCTCGGGAACAAAATAAACAAAAAAACTGTTGTGAATATAAATCCAGTCCTCGGTTTTATGAACACTTCCGTTTTGAATTTCGTTTATTGCAGAATCGTTGTTGGCTGTCAACGGTGGCAACAACGGTCCCATATCGCGTTCGCGAAATCCGTCCGTAAACATATCTCATTCGATATGCGTGGAAAAATGCAACTTGTGTATTTGGATGGGCGTGAATAATGAAGCTTAAAAAAAATTCTTTTACGATCGTCGTTATTTTCACAAGAGATTAAATCCAGAAATTTTCTATCGCTTATCTTTAATAGATTATCAAAGATGCATTCAATTATCGAGAGAGAGAGAGAGAGAGAGAGAGAGAGAAAGATAAATGAAAAAAATATTAACTTTCGCGACAATAACAAAATTATTAATAAATAATCATACAGAATTACGATAAACTGAATTTCGTAATTTAGACCATTTCTTTTCTAAAAAGAAATTCAATAAATCAAAACAAAAATAAACTATTCATTCACCACCGATAATTATTCGTTATAATCAAGAGTCGAATAGAGAATAGATATTCATTATCTCTGTGTCATCCGGTGCGTGACATTTTCGACGCATCTAGAGAACGTTACAAGGAACTTGTACGAGGAAAAGTGCGTAGAAGCGTGCGTACAGCGTTTCTGGAAAGTTCCGAGTTTCCCGCACGTGGAACGGCCGCTTTGAGAAGCACTGGCCCGAACGACGCCACATCCTGACTGCTCTACGTTTCAAATGCTCCCTCGTGCTACCCTTAACGCACGGGGGCTCAACGATGGCGTGTTAGGCCAGGCATGGGGACGCCATAAGCTTGGCGGTTCGTCCCCGACACGAGTCCGAGGGTGAACAACGGCCCGGCGCGCGGTGAATCGCACAGTCGAGCGTGAGACTCCGTTGGAGTAAGTCGTGTGCTTTCTCTCGCTAATCCTGTCTCTCTGTCTCTCTCTCTCTCTCTCTCTTTCTATTTCTCTGCGATTCGTCTCGCCGATCACGCGTTCGCGAGAGAAAGAGGACGGATCCTCGAAGAGATCGCAGGATCGCCGCGTCTTACCTCGGAGAGTCGAGCTCGGCGGACACGCGCGCGTGTTTCCGAGAAAATCGGAAGAAAGAAGAAGCGGACCGCGGCGAGGCGCGAGTTCAGCGAAGCCGCCGATCGGGGGAGTTCCGATCCCGCGAGCGGCGCTCGCAGTTGCGTGCGAGACGCCGTCGAGGTGACTACGTGCGAGGTGACCCGAGCGAGGTAGCGTTTTTCACGAGGCGCTCTCGTGTACTCTTACATGTTTACGGAGAACTGATCCGATCGCCTGTCGCACACATACACACACGTATACACGCACAAGTCCGCGATTATTATATTCGTTTGGCAGCAAACATAATAAACGCGCGCGCGAACACACCGGTGACTTAATCTTCTCGCATCGAAACTCCTCGGTGTGCCCTGTGGTACGTTATGTTTGCATTTTTGTGATCTGCATTGTTTATTTGTGTTCTTTTAACTGCGTTCGGAGAGAGTTTATTTTGCGGTGGCTCGCAGGTGACTGCCGATCTCCATGACCGTTAGCGCGCGGTGAGAAATCGCGCGAGAAGAATCACCTCCGCGTAACGGTGAAATCTCCATTTTGAGGTTTGTTTCGCGAACGATTCTCCCGAGCGAGAGTCCCCCGTCGATTGACGGAATCTCAGAAATTCCCTTGGGATTTGGGAGTCAATTGTGTATTTTGAAAGATGAAAACAAATTCACTAGGATCGCGTTAACATTCGGTAAAATGATACATGGGGCATTCAGGTAGTGTTTCTGAACGCAGCCTGGAGCATCTGCAACTTCATATCGAAGAGCGATAAATTTCTACACTTTTGTAATTTTCATCTCGTTTCAAGATACCCAATTGACCTCCGACTGATATCTTCAGTCTTTTTCGTTTCGTTCGCTTCTCTTCGTTTTCATTACGGACGATCGCCGAATAATTCGAGCCGAGTACGAACTCGACTCTTCTCTTTGTAGGTTCGTCAAATATATCGCGCGCGCGCGCGCGTAAAGATTTCGCAATCGCGAGTAATCTCTCTCGCGGGGAGATCGATTCGCGATTACCGGGCTTATTGGTTTCGATGCGGAATTCCACGATTCATATCCGCGCGCGAACGGTCGATCTCCGATCGTAAACTGTCCGATTCGCGCCGGTGAGTACCGCCGAAGGAAATCAATCGGCCAGCTAAAGCCGGCCTGAAATCGCGTCGGATGTCCCGATTACGAAATTTCGCGGGAACTCGATCCTTGCCAACTTCTCGTGCTCGTGCTTGCTTCGGAAAATTACAGGGCGAAGCCAGGATTTTTCAATTCCTTTCCGAATCGAACTCTGGTAAACTTAATTTCCTCAAATCTCTCTCTCTCTCTCTCTCTTCTCTCCTTTCTTTTCAAAACAGAATCCGCTCCTTTTTCATCAAGACGGCGAAAAGAGAGAGGAAATCGGAGTATTTAGCTTGCGAGTAAAAGCCTTGATGTATCACGTACTTGAGAGACTTTGCAAAATATTGGATTAAATAAGTGTGTACGCAACAAATATTTGTTTTGCTCTATATAAATCCGTAGTGAAATTTAAATTAAAATTGATTTTCGAATATATATTGAAGCAATCAGAAAAATTATAGAAATTTCATGAAAGGAATTTGTAGGCCGCTGGTTGAAAAACACTGGGTGAAACACTACACGAACCGCATGGGGGGAGTATCCTTTTTTTTATTACGCATCGCGTCTTTGTCCTTGAACAGGCTAAAGAAAAGGGAAGCCAGCCGGGAGCGCGTATATATGGTGTTTCGAAACAACATGAACGTACATATAACGGTTGATAAAAGAGAATGATTAAGCATTTTTGAAATTTTTTTTAGAATTGCGTCATTTGCTGCCGTTTCAAAAATGTTCGGTTTGTCATTCTTTGTTTAATGTTCATTTCCATTAATATAAATTAACATTAATCTCAGTTTAATTTACTCTTTATCTTTTTCTAATTCTTAGAAATAAAATAAGATAAAAAATAAATTAAATCGAGATTAAAGTTAATCTATATTGGTAAAAAGGGACATAACTTATTGATTTAATATTTCATTTATCGTACGAGAAATCTTTTATTAAACGACGGTAGAAAGTCTCTCAAATCTTCAGAAATTCTCAGGCCCGATTTATTATTTTTTAATTAACTTGCGGTTTAGATTTAATCTAACGATAATATAAAAATGATGATTTTCTATCTATGATCAATCGCTAAATTGATTTAAAGTTACGTACAACATACAAGTTTGGTGAATGTAATCACTAGAAAAACGTAACGTCTACGTAACATCTTATTATTAAGCTTAAATCACAGACTAGCCAGAAAATGAAAAATTAGGCCTCAGAAACATTTTAAAAATTTGTCACACACGGATGAGTTATTATCGTCGAGAATATCGTTCGAGAATATTGTTTTAAAATACCCGATATATATATATATATATATACAGGACGATTCACACTCATCACTCGGCGACAACTTGGATAAAGCAGTGACGCAACCGCTCCTGTTCGCAAAGGAAGGAAAAGTTCGCGATGACGGTGTAACGGCGCGGTTTCCAAGTCAAGCCTCACCTTGCCGTCTCAGCTAACGTCATCTCTCTCTTTCTCTCTCACACCCGGTCTCGTCTCGTCGCTACTGACGCGTGTGTGCGTACGCGCGCGATACCGCAAACGAACGGACGTACGATGGTGTGCGTGAGATCGCGCGTGCTGATCGTTCACGGACTCGGCAGCAGCCTGTAGCAAACTGGTGGTGGTGGTGGTGGTGGTGGTGGTGGTAGTAGTGGTATTCGTACAAAAGAAGACAGAGGAAAAGGGACCTGCTTTCTCGTCGCCGAAACGTTCCGACTGCACAATGCAGCCCTTCAAAAATTTATCAAGGCGACGGATCATCAGCGAGATAGGTGAGTAAGAAAAAAAAAAGAAGCGCTATTTGACAAAAGTAGCGTTATTGAACCACCATTTTTTTTCCTCCCCCTTGAATCCCGCGTAAGGCGAATTGCTGACTGAAAAATGCTATAAAAATTTACTATCAGGTCAGACGTTTCTATCGTTGAATTGTAAGTGTGTTTTCGTGAGTAAACTTGGACGCATTTCAAATATGTAAAATGTTTGTAAATAAAATAAACGAAGAGATGTTGGTATATCATAAATAGATAATGTAGGTATGTAGATAAATTCTCTTGGGAAACTTAGAAACATTTTTTTAGATAAATTCTCTTGGGAAACTTAGAAACATTTTTTTTTCTTTTATCAAATCTAATCTAATATTATCTAATCTAAGAATGTAATGTTTATTTAGAAAAATATCTAAATCTTTGTCATTTCT